CGATTTTCTGAAACACACAGTCCAAATTGAAGGTGAACACGCAGCCCACAGTGATTGACAGTTGAGGCATGTAGCCCAAACGCCGATTTCCTGAAACACGCAGTCCAAATTAAATGTGAACACGCAGCCCACACTGATTGAGAGTTGAACATGCAGCCCCAACATTGATTTTCTGAACACGCAGTCAGAATTGAAGGTGAACACGCTGTCCACACTGATTGGAGTTGAGCATGCAGCCCAAACACTAATTTTCTGAACAGCAGTTCCAATTGAAGGTGAACACGCAGCCCACACTGATGATGAGTTGAGCACGCAGCCCAAACACCGATTTTTCTGAATACACAGTCCAAATTGAAGGTGAACACGCAGCCCACACTGATTGATAGTTGAACACGCAGCCCAAACATTGATTTTCTGAACACGTAGTCCAAATTGAAGGTGAACACGCAGCCCGCACTGATTGAGAGTTGAACACGCAGCCCAAACATTGATTTTCAGAACACGCAGTCCAAATTGAAGGTGAACACGCAGCCCCCACTGATTGAGAGTTGAACACGCCGCCCAAACACTGATTTTCTGAACACGCAGTCCAAATGGAAGGTGAACACGCAGCCCACACTGATTGAGAGTTGAGCACGCAACCCAAACACTGATTTTCTGAACACCTAGTCCAAATTGAAGGTGAACACACAGCCCACACTGATTGAGACTTGAGCACGCAGCACAAACACCGATTTTCTGAACACGCAGTCCAAATTGAAGGTGAACACGCAGCCCACACTGATTGAGCGTTGAGCACGCAGCCCAAACACTGATTTTCAGAACACACAGTCCAAATTGAAGGTGAACACGCAGCCCACACTGATTGAGAGTTGAACACGCAGCCCAAACACTGATTTTCTGAACACGCAGTCCAAATTGAAGGTGAACACACAGCCCATACTGATTGAGAGTTGAACACGCAGCCCAAACACTGATTTTCTGAACACGCAGTCCAAATTGAAGGTGAACACACAGCCCATACTGATTGAGAGTTGAACACGCAGCCCAAACATTGATTTTCTGAACACGCAATCCAAATTGAAGGTGAACACGCAGCCCACACTGATTGATAGTTGAGCACGCAGCCCAAACGCCGATTTTCTGAACACGCAGTCCAAATTGAAGGTGAACACGCAGCCAACACTGATTGAGAGTTGTGCACGCAGCCCAAACACTGATTTTCTGAACACGCAGTCCAAATTGAAGGTGAACACGCAACCTACACTGATTGAGAGTTGAACACGCAGCCCAAACACTGATTTTCTCAACCCGCAGTCCAAATTGAAGGTGAACACGCAGCCCACACTG